ATTTGGGGGATGAAGAAGCCTAAATCTTGGTGTGTAGAGTGTTCGGTGCTCCTGGTGAGTGGAGTGTCTGCAGTGACATACCTAAGGGAGCTGGTTTCCCCAAGTGCTTGCCTGGGTGCTGGCTGCAAGCCTGTCCCCTCTTCCTGCCAGTGCCCCCGGTGATGGTTATATCATGGGGTGGGAGATATGAGTAGCTTTAAAGAGTATAATATACTAGAGAGCGAGAAATGCAGCCTCATAATAGAACAAAGTGTTCAATACCAACTTCCTGAAACTAGAAATCTATAATCTTCCTGATAAGTAAACTTGCTGAGAATCATTGTAAGATAAGTGTAAAAACTTGTAGAGAATGTTTTCTAATCACTGACAAACTAAAAGCACTTTGAGACATTAGTCTACTTTTATGGAAAGCACTTTCTATTTTCGATACTATCAATATCATTAGTACCACTCCAGCTAATTCTGCATTGCACACTCCTGCGTCTGTGTGCATGGAAGCAGATTTTGCTCTACAATTCAACTCCAGAATTCAGATACATTTTCCTTCAGGGTGGAATTGTCAAAAGAGTTCTCTCGATATTAATGTCACGTTGTTGACGTTCTATGTTTTATGTTATTTCCAACTTTACCTAATAATTGATCAGCTGTTTCAAGTATTGCAGCAGCCTCCAAGTATTCTAAACTATACTTTGCTGTGAATAAAATGAAAATGCAAATACCACAATGGGTCTAATAGCTAATTCAAATGGCATTTTTATGCCAGTAAATCGCAGAGACTTGGAAGATTTCAGACATGCTCACCCCAGCCAGTATTGAAACAACACATTTTAAATATCTGGGTGTTGGTCTTTAACAAATGCTTATGAACAAAAGTGACTATGGAGTAACACTATGGGTATTTAGGTGTGCCAGTGTCATGTAGAATAGCCCTCCCCCTTAAAACACGCAAGTTTCTCCATGCGAGGAGTATCTGGGGGATTCTTATTATGGAAGTGAAGCCATGACCAAGTTTGAGTGGCTTTGGGGTCACGGTTTAGTATTGGATGAAGTTTAACTTGAAATAAACCAAAGCCGCCTTTCTGCTAATATTGCAACCTGATTGTTTTCTCCTTCCTGATATTTTTTTGGCAAACTACTGTGTTATAACTGCAAATGAATTCTCAAAAGCAGTTTTAAATGTAAAGGTTTGTTGGAGACTCCAGCATCCAACAGTGACTTTGCCCAGAAATGGAGGGTGGCTGTATGAGCAATTTTCCCCCATCAAGAACTCTCCTAAATTTGAGTGTATCCCCAATACAAAAGCATTTTCTTTTTAGGGCAAAATGTGAAACTCCACTGGTGTCACTTGCTTTGAATTTCACATTTACTATTTCACCCAGACATGCAATTCCTATGTAGTTGTAATATGGTGTTATATAGTGTGGAGTGTCTTGTTTCTAGCGATGTTTATTTGTTTATATTTAATACTAGAAGCATGATAATGTCAGTCAGTTTTATGAAATAGCCATCACTCATTCCCATGCTGGGAATGCACAGTGGACTAAGCTGTAAGTAAACCAGGTAGGACCATGCTCACAGTTGTAAAACTGGTTAGCATGCAAGCTTTAAGCAGTGAAACTCTTCTATTCTTTAAACACTTTGGGCTCTCCCTGCTCCTTTTGAATGCATTAAGCAAAACCCTCAGATTGCAGCAACAACCAGACGTTTATGCTGGGGCCATTGGGAACTGTTTGGGTTACAAAGAAATCACTGTCAGAGCTGTTGGCAGCCAGAGCACTTACGGATGGAGCTAAATCCATACTGAAGAGCGAGGACCTCTCAGCTGCTGGGATGGGAAGAGCTCCCTCTTCCTTTGTCAGGTAACTGTGTCAGGACAGCACATATTCCTGCTGCTGCTCCTCCTCAGCTCTGTTTTACTATATAAATTTAGCAATAGAAGAGGAAGAAACTAAGGGGGGTAGTAATGGAGCAAAGCAACCAACCTTTATACCCAAGTTTGAAGCCTGGCAATGGCATTACTCTCACTTAAACCCTCCCTGATGCAGTTTGGTCATTCAAGTCGTGATACAACTTAAATTACCCCCTGCAGCTGCTTCCTCAAAAGTACCTACTAATGTAGTGCAACTGAGAGCTTTACTTGTAAAGTGTTGAACAAAGTCTCTTATTTATGAGTGCCATTGAACACCAACTTTCTTGCATTAAATATGTCTGGACGTATTGTTTTATGATGTGTGGTCTGACTTCTTTTAGTATTACTTAAGTGGTCCGTCTGCTGTAAGATTGTGATCTTTTGCATGGAAGATTAAAAGGACAGGGAAATGTAGCTCAAACCGGCCTCAGCAACACTCTGAATTTCAGCTTATGTAGGGCTGCGTCCAATTTCTACTCACCAGTTGCTGATATAAACCCTGTGGCAATTTGAAGTGTTTTTTTAGAAGCCCAGTCAAGGTGTGAACAGGCGCCAAGCCCTAACTGCCCCATCAGTGCAGAACCACCCCTCACATCCAGCTGGTTAGGCAGGCTGGCAGAGGAGCTTGTGCAGTTCAGCCTGTGCTGCTTCTATAAATAGTTCTTGGGTTGGGGCTTTTCCTTAGGAATGAAACTCACATACTTATTTGCAAGTCCTAACTAGAATGTTGTACTTCAAATTGAAAACGTGGTGTGAGCAATGCAAGCAGCAACATAAAAGGCAGGCTTGTCTTGAGTGGCTTATTCCCTCCGCTCCTCAAAATTACAGCTATTTGCATGCTCTTTCATCCAGCTCTGGCTACAGAACCACGTTCTTCATGGGAGAAGCGTGCAATGCTTATCTTGAAGCTTTTACTCTAGCCCCAGTGTATTTACACAAGTGTCCCCAAAGCTGAACAGTGTGTAGTACAGACACAGGGTGGGAATACCACAAACCCCAGAGAATTCGCTCCATTCCTTAGCTACGAAGTCAACAGGTATTGATGTGGTACTGCTGGCGGTTGTGTCACACTGCCTGCATGCAGGTGTGACTGTCCAACACAGCCTTGCTAGCAACAGGACAGCTAGGAGCCAAGCTAAGATAACACGAGTGACTCCTAGATACACTGTCATTCTTCTGGGCTTCTTATGATGGCAAAACCCCACAAGTGTAAGTGGTAAAGCCCAAGAAATAGATAGTCTTTAAAGAAATGTGCAATTTTGGGGGGGATGCTGCTGCCCTCCTGTGGCAGAACATAAAGCTTCACCCAAAGATTTGACAGATGCATTTATGTATCTATTTTGTGCTGCTAGAAGTTTTTAAGCCATTGTAAATACAGGAATCATTTATCAGTGATGTCCTATTGTCCATATAGGCTTCACTGGCCACCATTATGCTTTTTGCTCTGGACTGTTGTGTTTTGCTCACAGGGCGGCAATGAAAGGAACTTAACGTGGTTTAATACTTGACAGCTGAAGCTTTGCTTTTTAGCTATGCTCAATGGAAAACCTACCCCAAGAAAAGCTTCCTGAAAACAAGCAGGACTTCCAGCCTGCCTCGCCCTAGTGCTGAAGAATCATAGTACCCTGGCATTAAACAGTGACATGGTGTATGTTTATTTAAGAACAGTTTTAATTTCAGGAACTGAAATCATAACTTTGACTGTGTGCATGATCTCAGCTGGTTCTTCAATACTACAGAAGTGGCCTGAAGAAGCTTATACCCAGTTACAAATGAAAACTATGACTGATTTAAAAACCATCTTCCACTTTTTCCCCCAGACAACGTTTTCACAAGCAGCACAAGACCTGTTCCAGTTCTCAGCACACCATCGGAGGTCCACAACAGGTAACAGTTTTGGTTGTACTTTAGAGGAAATCTGTCAGTTTTTAGCAAAGCCTTTGTGCCTTTTCCATACACTGTTCTAGATCAGGAAGTTTGCTCTGTAAACACCTGTATGATGTGGGACTTAAAAAAGCAGCAAATATGGTTAGAGAGTTGAGAAAGTATAGAGCCTGGGAAAGCTTAGTCTGTCTCAAAGTTAAGCCTATGTTTATGCAGGGTTAAGCCCAGTGGAAATGGTGCGTGTTAGTGTTGCTATTGTGCTAAAGAAAGAGGAGTAGCATTCATTCCAATGGGATTTTTTGTTTCATTAGTCAGGACCTGCTTTATTCTGTCTAGGAAATACCTGGCCAGACCAAGCCGTATCTAGAGCAGTGGCAACGCATGCAGAGCAATGATTTGTTTTTCAGTTAAATATATTCCAGGGCAACAGTTTAGTTTGTTTGAAAAGTATGTCTCATACTACAAAAAACACCTCTAAGGATTCTGTGGAGTCTGTTTTGGTGATTATGGGAATGCTTGGTCCCCTCAGTCACCGGCACAAGGAGTCACTCATCGTAAGTGTGTTAAGAGTATCACTTATCACTAAGCAGAGCCAGTTTATAGGAGCAAGCAAATGAAAACTGAAGTCATTAGTCCAGTTTTTCCCTTACATCAACTTTTGTTCACAGGTCTTATCTGTAAGTTGTCTTCAGCACAGAGGAGATGAAACATGGTGTCAAACAGCATTAGCAATTACCTTCTCTTGGCTTTCAGCATGCTACAATAATGGCCCTTGGAGCTGCCTCAGCTGCTAAGCCAATGTCGACCATCACAGGTCCCAGTATTTCATCATGTCATGCACTGTCACAGAGGTGTGTAATTACACCTGGGGTTCTTAAACAGCATACACAACCATACACCAAGCACTGGTATTCCGATACCTGCGTTTAAACAGTGCTCACCACAGGATCCACACTAGCAGATACTGATGACCAACCTCTAAAACACATGCTGCGTTAAGGACAAGTGTCTTTCAATGCCAACACATCTTTCCATTGAATTGGAAAACTTGATTTACATAGCAAAGGACTGTGCTCAAGGGTGAGGCTCTTGCCCTTGTTTTTCATCTCCCCCCACTATTTCCATAAATTCCATGGATAGTTTGGAGAACTGAGGGAGGAATTGAGAGTCTCTTTGTTTTGAATTATACCCAATTCCCAAGTCTCCTCTGTGCCTGAAGTCAATTTTTTTCTGGGTAAAATACTGAAGTCTCATCACACGCGAGCTCCTGAGGAGAGGGTAAAGCTTGGCTTGTAGCTATCTTATGCCTAATTCAAAATTACTACAGGAACCTTCTTAGTCACAAGCTTCAAGGCAGACAACAGACCATACCCTGAACTCCAGTTCACACACCCCCTTGACTTCAGCAGAATCAAAGTAGTGCCAGGAAGGAATTTGGACCATAGGTTTATAAAACTATTCTTTTACACAGTTGACTCCAGAAGCTTCACCAGTTGGTATGGGGACAGTGTGATGTAAAACCTGATGATCCCATCCAACTGTAGTGAGCAAGGCATTGTCTGAAGGAGACCACGATAAGCCTTTCACAAAGTCTTGATGAGAACGGTTTCTGAACCTGGAAAACATGAACACTCCATCAGCCATAAAGCATTGTCACTAAGAGGTTTAGGGGCTTGTGCAGTGCCTAACTGCTAGTTTGGTAGGATGATGCTCCCCTATTTAAGGAGTATTTTCATCTTCCACCCAGCATATGCATAAATAATTAACTTAAGGAGAAGTTACCGAGACAAATAGCCGCAGTAATGAATAACTTCTGTCTAGTACTTACACCTCTGAGAGGTCTGAGTCGAGAACAGCTACTGAACAGTCTTCACTGATTGAAGCCAGTAAGGGTGAACTAGAGGAGAGAGATGAGACCAGTGTTAGAACAAGCAAATACAAGAAAGCTTCTTAGGGATAGACTTGTGAAGAGCACACTACTTAGGGTGCTAAATCTTACAAAGTCTCTTCATCATCACATGGCAAGTTGTCAGCACACTAAGCAAGAATATTAGCATCAGAAAGCAAGTAATCCTTCAAGCAGTGGTGACTGTAATTAGAAAGATGCCCAGGGTGAGTGGGTCAGTAATTCTGACTGCTGCAGAAGTGTTCTCATGTATGTTGACACTGGTCTTTTCAAAAGCCAAGAACGCTGTTTGGTTACTTTGTTCTTCACTATTGATTTCTCAATAGAAAGACAAAAGCTAGTGCTCCCATAGGTTTTAATCTAAAAACAAACAAGGCTCTCAAGTCTATGCAGTCACACATTCTATGCCAGTATATCAGACTGTACCTATGTGTAGAAAACGCAAACCCTGTGATATTTCGGGCATGCACAGTGGAGCTGAGGGCAGAATCAGGATTCTTTGTGTCTACTAGTGCAACTGTTCCATTTTCATCACCTTCAAGAGAGGAAAAGAGAACGAAGTTATTAGCAAAATTGTCATGTGGAAAGAAAGCCCTTGATTTGTCTGGTGAAAGTCAAATAAGATCACTTCTTACCCAGAGCAAAGATGTCACTTTTGTGTGGATGCCACATGACTGAGGTAGGGAGGTGATTACAGGCACTGCAAACTGAGAGGAAATAAATTGGGATGAGTGTGAAAAGAGCCAATACAAAGATATTCCTACACTATCTCATTTAGCACTGCTACCGCACTAAGACAAATATACTTTAAAGCTTACTGCACTTCTGTGGTGTTAGATCTCCTTAGGTTCTAATAGGCTTTTCTACACAAATGTCAGATTGCAAGATTTGAAGTTAGACATAGTGAAGTCAGGCATGAAATGACTTATTTCTTCTAACAAAAACTCATACACAAAGCAGTGGCTGCGTACAGAAACATACCAATTCGAGTAGCTGGTTTGGGGCATCTGGTGTCCCAGAGTAAAGTTCTGCTGTCCTATAAATCCAAAGTGAATGAGAAAGTTTTTACAACCTCTTTGTGGCAGGGGGGAGGCATAAACTCAGATTCACTGCAGAACTGCTACTGACCCACGTTCCAAACCACACCACCTCTTCCTTTGTGTTAAAAGGATGCTGCCATTAACTGTATGTTAGCTCCTTCAGTCATCCCCAGGAGCTCCCATATTTTAATATAAACCTGTAGAAATCAGCTTGATGAGCTGATTGCCAACTCATTGAGTAGAACACTGAAATGACACAGGTATGCAGCTTGTAACACAATAGGTGGTTTCTCGGGAAGTGCATTTAACTGTACCTAACTGAAGTTAAATCTTACTTTTACCAGGTAGACTTAGACAGAGAGTGAGCTTTACCTCAGCACAGGACAGGAACATGGTGTCCTTACCAGGACAGGACGCCACACATGTCACCGCATCGGAGTGAGCTACCAAAACCACAAAAGAATAAAGAGCCTCAAAGATTGCATCCAGCTTTCCCACATACTCCCAAGGACCTCTGAAGGCACAGCAGTACGATAAAGAACAGTTCATACCTAAACACAGGGTAACTTCTGCTCAGCAACAGCCAAGTGCTTCCTACCAAACTGACGAGCTGCCAAATCCCACCTGAGCTGCTACAGCAGGGTCCCTGTAAGCTACGTAAGCTTGAGGAAGCCCCCTCAGACAAAAGGTGAGTTTGAAAGTAGGGAGAGGATCAAACAAAGCACAGTTTTCTCTGCTGTCACTAGACAGCACAATACCACTTCCTCAGAGATCAGCATCTGGAATGAGCTATTCAAACTAAATACAGGTTAGATCACACCCCATCATAAGCAGGTGGAAGAAAGATTTTGGTACAGAACAAATATTGTAAAATATGCTTAGAGATGCAAAGCAAACTAAGCCTTACAGTGTTCATTCTATGGGGAAAACGAACAACAGAGGAAGAAATAAAGCTGTGCCAGAGACGTCACAGACTGGCAAACATTAGATCACAGCCCCAAGTGAGGTTTGGCAGGTGGGAGACAGCAGGAGGAAGCTCAGCCTGCAGTGACCAGCGTGATGGGGCCAGCGCGGCACTCACCTCTGTAGGAGTGCAGCACCGTCTGCTGCGGGAGGTCCCAGACCTTCACGCTGTGGACAAGAGCAAGTGGTAAGCACCCAGCACTGGCCCCTGGCACAGGGCAGGCGGGCTGGGGACACTCACCAGAAGTCCCTGCCACCGCTGACAACCTGGGTGCTGTTGGCCAGGACGGCCACCGTCATAACGATGTCATCGTGCTCGTATTTACAGAACTTGTTGACGATGAGGGTTTCCTTCTCATCCAGCTCCCAGAGCTCCACGGCGCCTATGGCGAGGTACCCCCATCAGCGAGAGGGGAACCACCTCAGCTTGGGGGGGGTGGGTCCCACGGGGATCCCTGTTGCTTACCGGATGCGGAGGCCCCCAGGATGCCCCTGTCAGCCACCCAGCACAGGTCGGCGACACCCGCTTCCGTCTGGACGCCAGCGGTGCAGAAACCCTCGCTGGGGGCACGGCGCGGGTCGGCGAACACCCAGAGGGAGCCGGCCCAGCAGCGCCCGTTCAGTCCCGAGGCGCCCAGTAACAGGGCCCCGTCTGGAGGAGAGGCAAAAGACGTGAGAAAG